CGAGTAAGTACATACCCGTACCCGTACTCCTACCCGTACCCGTACCCGATTTAAAATATCGGGTTTTACCCGTACCCGTACCTGTACCCGGTCAAACCAGGTATTCCCCGTCAAAGTCGGGACGGGTTCGGGCATTAGCTGCGGGTACGGCTATATTTGACATCCCTAGGGACAGTTGATTTTTTTTTCTCCTTCTTTTTTTCTTTTTTATTGATAAAAAATATCACTTAAATATAAATAAATATTATTAATAAATGTCAATATAACATGAGAACTAAAATTTCTTATTTTTAAAATTAAAGAGACAAAATATTTTTATTTTAAAATAAAAGACAAAACATACAAATATAGAGATCAAAAGTATAATTTATTTTTAAATATATAAACTATATTTTAGATTTATTATAAATAATTTATAATATAACACAAAATTATTTTTATTTATTGATAATTCACTATAAATATTAAAATTTAATTTATAAATAATTATGATAAATAAAAAATTAAATTAGATATAAAATATATAATAAAAAATCTCTCGTGAATGAAAAAATCCTAAAAATGTTGGTACACAATATGATTGTATTTAATTTATATATAGAGGTACAAAATTGGATAATACCCGTAAATAGTTTTTTTCTTTTTTAATAATCGTTATACAACTAAAGTTTTGATTTTTAGGTGGGACCGAACAATCTCTACAAATTTGGGTGTTTTTTTGTATCAACTATATAGCTCAGTTCAAAGCTCAATTTTAAAATTTCTTATTCTTCCCCAAGGATTTATAAATCATATAAAGAGAAATCTTACTGACACTTTTTTTTATCACATTTTCTATAATTGTTGAAATTATTTAATATTATAAAATTATGAGTAAAACTTGTTGAAGGTCTTTTTAGATTGGTTGGACAAGGGATCCCCACCAAAAATGCTTAACATAATTTATTAAATATAAAAAATATTATCGTTAGAAGTTTTACATTGAATAGAATATGAATTTTAATATAATACTTTAAGTGCTGAGACTCTTCCACCCAATGAATTAGTTTTTTGGGTTGAATTATCTTCATGTTTTTAAATTTTAATAATTGTTAATTTCATTGATAGTTGAATTATAGAAGAAAAAAAACTATCTATAGGCTAAATTAAGGTACAAATCAAATATTGATAAGCAAGTGAAGTTGTCAAAGAAAAAATGACTATCATTAAATTAGTGTCAGATAAAGTTACTGTTAACGTCAATCCTAAAAAAAAATTGACAATGTTAAAAATCCTACATTGAATAGAGTATAAAACTTAATGTGATACTTAAGCCTTGAAATTCTCGTACTTAATGGACTAGTCTTTTAGGTTAAATTCTCTTAATGTTTTAAATTCTTATTATTAGTGCTTTTATTATAAAAATATTATAATGAAATGGTATAAATTTTTTTTTTATAACTATACCATGTGTACTCATAATTTTATAATTACTTTAACAATCATAATTCTATATTTGTTAAAAAAAATGCTAGATTGGAGAGAAGAGATGTTTAAATCATAAAAAGTATACCATGTGTACATCATTCAAATTTTCAATCCATCCTTTACATGATAGACCCACCAAACACCATTACATACTAATTTTTAGTTAGTCTCTATCCCTGAACAAAATCCACGAAAACATAGTTAAAGATATTCTTAATTTGATAGTAAAATATTAATTTCCCCCGAGACAAAAAAAAAATCAATTCAAAATCAATAAAGCTCTCTTAACAAAAATTTATTATATACATTATTAGAATTCAAGTCATGGTAAATATACTTTTAAAAAAAAAATTCCAAGACTTTAACAATGTACTAAAGAACATAAAAAAATAATAAACATAACATCACTCTCTTTTTCCGTAACCCCATCATTATTCTCAGCTTAATTGTATTTTTATCACCCAAATTTTAAATTTGTACATTTTTCATTTAATTTTTAAAATTTTATACATTTATTACTTCATTAATTTAAACATTGACTTCATTAGTAAACTAGTAACATAACACGATCATCAATGTGAATTGATGACATATAGCATACAACTGATAACATAATACTATCAAAAATCAACATTTTATATACAGACATTAAACGAGTTAATTATTAAAAGAGATAACTAGTAGAATGACAAAATAATCCAGTAATAACAAAATGATCTGTACACCACGCATGACAAAACATTTCTCAACTCTGGTCTTATGATTGGGCTAAAAAGGGTTCGGAGTCGGCATAAATTTGAGTAGCAACTTCGCAACATACCAATAAAAACCAAAATGTCTAGGATGAGTTTGAAGATAGTCAATTATCTACCTGCAAGTGTTGCCCTAATTGTCCAGGGCATTAGCATGTTCATATTTCATGATAATTAATGGAAACACGACACCAAGTTTTTCTACAGCCAAGGCAAATGAAAACAATGCCCATGGCACATATAACTACAGCAACAACTGTAATAACGATATCCTCCCTGAAAGAAATTTGAGGCCCGGAAACAAAATTTTCTGGGAAAGGAGAAAAATTATTGTATCTTGTTCTATCTGGCTATATTTCTGTACAAGACAATGAAACTAATAATCTGCTATACATTTTTTGACAATTTTTTTTTCCTAACACGTTTACTTCTGCCATCTACTTTGTCTATATGTGGAAATCTTCATATTGCCAGTGTCCCTTCTGAGACTGGGGTCTCATCTAATGAATCTGTGGATTGAGATTTGGGTTTGCTCATAATTTTATTATATCCATAACCAAGAGAACTACCACTTGCTTCACACAGCTGCACAGATTGTGCAAGAACAACAAACATCCATTCAGATATCAATTATACAAGAGTGATACAAGCATTGCATGTTAATGGATGAACTAAAAAGATACCTACCTCTGCGAGCTCAGCCAGATGTCGAGATCTGAATTCATTTATAGTTGCTGCAATCTCTGATGTGGGGAGTTTGGCCTAACAAAAGATACGTATTAGAAACTAGAGGTCACCCATATCCATGCTATAGCATCATGTCATAAAACTCATAAACTAGTAACAGATATAATGAACATCTTTTCTTTGAATATTTTGATTCTGAGAAGGCATGACTAAACATCATCTGACATTTTCATTTTATTTTATTCTTTTCATTACAATTTTATGAACAAACAGCTAGTTCTGCCAACAAGATGTGAAGCCAATCTTACAAATGCCGGTGTAAAGAAAAAACACGCTCAAACTATTTCTAAGAAAAGTTGACCAAGACTCTGAGTAAATTATTTATATGAAGGGCAACCGTTTAGCTAATGTGAACAAGATTCAGTCGCAACAAGAAATATCCATAATCATTTGCTAGTTGCTACTAATTGTGTCTGTCATACGGGTAAAATATTTTCATTTAGATCAATATTTCTGTTTCAATAAAAACATGATATTTAATGAAAATTGTTACCTGAGAAAGCACAGCAGCAGCTAGTTGAAGACTTGGTTCCAAGGTCTCTGGGACAACCTGCAAGCATTTCAGTTATCGGTCAGTTTTTCTTCCAAGTTCCCAAAAGTAAGCGTTTCCTTGATAGGTGAGTTTTTCTTTCAATTTTGCAATAAAAAGCAAGAAGTAATAACAAAACTCTTTTTCCACTGGTAGGGTTTTGTGTGCAGATAGGATAGGATAGAACAGAATGCCCTCTATTCCCTTTCGATTCATCCTTTTTATTAGATTCAAAATTTACCAATTTTTAACTGTCTTCTGTTTTTCAAACAAACCAAAGTTAAATTAGAACTCATGTTCTCTTCAGACACTTTAACGTGTTTACCAAATGCTACCACTATTTTAGAATTGTACCATCAGGTAATCAAACCATAATACTAGAATAGGGATGAGAATATTACAGCAGTAGCTCCAGCCTTTTCTAAATTCAATCCATGATCTACATCATGGGCACGAACAAAAGTCTTCACATTTGGGAAGTACTTGCTCAGAGCCCAAACTGTTCTATAATTTGCACCAGGCGTATCAAGAGTTATTGCTGCAGCACATGCCCTTTCAGCCCCAACCTTATGCAGGACCTAGCCATGAATCCAGAAAAGAATAGAGATAAAATCAGGCAAAAACATGTTATGTGAATGTGAATACTGTGCTGAAGTAATGTGCACTACCTCTCTACTACCAGCATCTCCAAAGTACACAGGGAGATCCAGTGCACGACCAACTGCCACTCTATCACTGAAGATATTAACAAATAAGCAAGACAAGTTAGTCCATCGTGTCTGCATCCTATCCAAAACCACACATAACACTAAGTGTTTCACACATATCTTTGTAGCAAACAATGCTAGAGAATCTTGACGAACATTCTGTTAAGAGAATTAAAAAAATGATAAATTACTTGAGGGAACTCCAGTCTTTAGGGAATCCTATAATTTCTCAATGTAAGTATATATAGATCACTGCCTGACACAGTTGTGTCGCGGCTTGTCAATTTATTTGCTCGTGTGTATATTCCAAGATTGTCCATCCTAGTCTCTAATTACCAGAATCATTGAACTAGAACTAACTACCGAAATGCTCCATTAAGTATAAAACACTACACATATAAGCCAACCATTGTGAAGGATAGTAAAACAAAATCACAGTCACAGACATCATATTTTAGCCCATTTGATATAGGTGACTAATGAACTGTACTGTACATAAAGAAAGATTATTGTGACAGTTTTCTTTTCTTTTCTCATTGGGAGACCGAAGTCAGTATTATGCATGTAATTTTTTTTTAAATAGAATTAACATTAAATAAGCTTAAAGCATCAGATATCAAATCATTCATTCACAGGGAAAAAAAAGGATAGTAGTTTCAATTAGCAACTCGTGTTACCTTCTTACATCTAGGGCAACAAACGGAATAAGTCGCTCAGAAAGTAGTTGGGCAATTATCTGAACATAATACAAAGATAAATAGTCACACTTGAATCAGTTATGTAAACAGTAAACTAATTAATCAAACTGAAAAAGAGAAAGCTTACCTGGCCAACTCGTCCAAATCCACAAATAATGATATGATCTTGCAGATCATCTGTCTGTAAAAGAAGTCATCCAAAAAGAAGTCAACTACTGTTACTCCAAAATAATAAAAAATTACAAATGGTAAACCCATATGGATTAACTGCATCCACAATCTACCTCTGATCTAGGAAGAGCTCCTACATAATCTCCTTAAACTACTATATGCTTTTTAGCTACAAACCCAAAACTAAATTATAAACAACAAACTAACAACAGTCAAGTCAAGTGATCATGATGAAAAAGTAAATAAGGAGCACACAGCCCAAAAAATTTAAATGCCATTAGAAAGCACTCCTCAAGTTAAAAAGCTATGAAGGATATCGAAGTTTCCCCTTCAAAATGATAGACATATTTATCATTTCTCTGACTAACAAATCTATCCAAACACGCCATCCCTATGGTATCATTACAATCTTTTAACAGGGCAGTGAGGACTTATGTGACTGTAGTTAACTGACTTCATAAAAAACTTTACCATCTCAGCTAGGTTTATAGTTTTCAACTTATTCTATCCCTGCCTTTTTATCATAAGAATTTGCAAAATGAGCAACGAAACTAAATTATAGCAACTTAATATTTGAATTTACTATTAACCTCTTAGTTTTATTGAGACCTATGAATAAAGTTTCCAGAATTTGAATTTACTCAATTTAGGGAATTTTACTAGCAAACTGGATTGAGATAATTTAACAGAATTTTTTTAACATATCAACTGAATAAATCCCTGACTACTTGATGAGGACAGATCTCAGTTTCTGAGCAAGTCTGATAAGTCTAAATACAACACAACCACATTATGCCTGCATGGCAAAAATTCCTATCCCTGTGAAACTCAACAAACAATCTATTTAGCTGTAAGAAAAATGGTAAACAATGCACCAGTAAGAGCTTTCAATCATAGATACTTCTGAAGCTAAAAATTCATGACCATTATTAATAAAATTAATAGTCAGCAACTAATGTAAGAGATTTTACCTCACTTTCTACAGGTAATAAACTTCTCACATCATTCTGCTCAAAACGGGAAGCAATCAGCTGGCCTCCTGCAGCTAGCCATGGAGTGATGGCCATTGAAATGCCCACAACAAGAAACAGCAAAGATGATAGCTGGGGAGACATTATGCCCTGCAGAAGTGCCAATTAGTGGGGGGGAAATAGTAGTTTTATTTGCAAAATTATTACAGAAAACAATTCTTAGCAGTTACTAGCAAACTTATCTACATTTTTGTATTTTTCAAATTACAATGAAGATCAATCATTAAGAACTAAAGATTATACAAAATTTCCAAAGGAGGGAATTTCATCTAAATAAGAAATTAAGAATCCTGCTAGCAAAAAATCCCAGAGCTCCTCCACATCCTTATACTCCCAAGTAATAGACATACAACACTTCTCAATAGATGGAATCCTATGGCTATACTCCTACTCATACCAAAAAATTTAATCATTGGAGGTTAAGGTGTCCATCCAAACCTCCTTCTTAAACTGAATAATGTTAACCTATAAATTCCAAGGTACTAAGCAATGCAAGAACATATGATAATGAGTCTCAACTCTTACTACACATCATGCTAAAAACAGCCAGAGACAACCATATTTTATCAACGCTTGTCTGGCCAGCACCTATATATATCCTTTTATTAAATAAACCCCCGAAAAGTGACTTATTTTACATTAACATAAAGATCTAGACTACTAATAAAACACAACTCTTGGTAGAAAAGAGTTTTCAAGGACAAAAACCTGATTAACAGCTTCACCAAAAGCCACAAATGCAAACTCTCCCCCAGGAGCAAGAAGAAGACCAACTCTGATAGCAGAAATGAGGGAAATCCCAAACATTCTACCCATCAAAGAAACCAAGATAGTCTTGCCAAATATTAAGAGTCCTAGAGCACCTGCGACGACCGGAAAGTTTGAAACAAGAAGTTTTGGATCAATTGACATCCCAACCTGAAAAGTCACAAAAAATCATTGCTATCAATTATGTAGATAGAAAATGGCTGATAAATAAGACATTTACAAAATAGCTGTAAAAATCTCAAGACAAATCCACAGTTAAGCAGTCAAGATTTTCTGATCAACGTAGCATAATTGTTATTTTTCAGATTCTAGATCAATAAAAGTTCAAAATGTTGCTTCACTTTAGACAGAAATAGTTTTCTTCAAGTAACATTAAGCTTTATCCACTAGTAGCCAAGCCCACCTTATGGAATAAGGCTTGGTTATTGTTGTGATAGTGTAAATTTCTATCCATTACAGACCATAAAATGATTAATGTTTTCCCTATTGTCAGATAATGAGAACACAAGTAATACTTACAATCTATCCATTTTAGCACTAAAACTAATAAATACTCCACATAAACATTCCCCCTTTTATAGCCTTTCTAATTCTGAGATTTTTCTTTCAGTTGTTATAGAACTAGCAGACAATACAACTAAAAGCAATACTTTAATCCTAAACTTTGAATTTTTGTCACAAACACTTTCTTAGAATCTTATTTTCTTTACTGACTTGTTAGTGACTGCGTCCACCTAGATCTCTATAATTTTCAACTTCATTACTTTTTATGTTTGGCTTTCTGCAAAGGAAAAACCAAAACTTTTTTGAACTACATTTTAGTGGCATTAAAGATAGAAAACAAAGAAGCCAGACTAATCTTTCAAATTTGGATCTTAAACGGAGACGCAAAGATAGAGATGAACTCCAGATTTTGCATTCAATGCAAGAAAGATTTTTTTCCAACTAAAAAACCAAACATTATCCAGCGTACTATTGATGCATGAAGCTTTTGTATAAGAGGATAGATAACAAAAAATAGACACTTTTCTCCCTTTTAATCAATATTTTACATGAATTCTTCTATCCTTTATCTACCATATCACAAGCACACCAGTTATATATATCCACCATTTTTCTTTTCAATTACATCAAGATTTCTCAAGTGGTCAATTCGTTGCTTTTCAATATTCTCATAAGAATATGTCATACATAAGTAATTGACAAGAGGGTTTTAAATTGTGGCCACACATTGGCTTCAAAGAACTCTGCATCCACATCTGTTGCCACATTAACCATATTTGTCCACAACTTTTGAAATAGCAACATAAACAATTTAAAACAAAAATACATAATTTTCACAAAAACTTAAAACAATACAATTAATAAATTTGTGCATTCTGATATTCAGCACTTACCGTCATAAAGAAGAGGCCCAAAAGAAGGCCACGATATGGAGCAATATCAGATTCAACCTGTAAGGAAAATTCAGTTTCTGCCAGTAGTAAACCTGCCAAAAATGCACCCAATGCCATGGAAAGTCCTGCCTGTTTAAGTAAAGGAAAACAAAAACAAGTCAAGATCAGGTTAATGGACTCAATAATACTGAACTGAAACAAAAAGTTTCGAAAGCCGGACCAGTCATCAAACTAGGTCATAGTTCAATGGTTTAACCATAGTTGAATCATAAATCTCTACACCACAGTTATCGATGTCAGATAGAGGCAGGTAGTAGCTGATTCCAAAAACACTATAATGGGATAGTACAGGTAAGATGACCACTATTTTGGAATTTTTATACAGAATAAGTAATTTATACTATAACCTATAAATGCTCAAACTAAAATAATACTTTCATGAAAAATTCATAATTATAAATAAAAGATGCAGAGGTCTTGAGCAAAAACATACAAGTAAATTTGATCAACAGTCTGGGTATTGGTCAAAAATACTGCCAGAGATGGGCGGGTGTTGGTCGCACAAAAGAGAGGAGCATGGGAAATTATCCAATTAGAGGTTTTTTTAAGTTCTCAAAAGAGGAGACCCAACCACATTTTGTGGTTACCCCTAGCCCACCTTAACACATTGTTTGTTTGACATGTTTTTGGAAAGAGAACCAATCCAACTGGCCAGTCATTTTCTAGACCAATGTTTAGACCAAGCAATCAAATCTTCACAGGGCTTTTCATTTCCAAAAATAATTATTGGAAACCTGAAAAGTTGTCTGTTTCTACAATAAACAATAACACAAGAAGGAACTCTACAACCAGTCAAAAACCCAAAAGAAAGGATAAAATGAAAAGCAATAGGATAATCACATACCCTGGCTGTAAGAAGACTCGTGCCAAGTATAACAAGGAGTGTGTTGGCTGAAAAAATTTCTGCATTTTGATTTTCTGCAACCTGCTTGTATATTGGTCGAAGGAGCTGTAAAGAAGAACAGGAAACTCAGCACAAAGCACATTCTACATCTGGCAATTGATGTACCATCATGCAATGCCTTCCAAATGAACCCTAAAAGGATATCACCTATCCTTTGATAAAAAGACTTTTAATGATATATGTTTTACCATTAGCATCTTGACACTAATATTACTACATATTTTAAATGGCCATTTCATTCAATGTACTGTGCACAGAAAAGTAAAAAGAAACCTCCTCTAAGACCTCATAAGTTCATCCACTACAGTCCAAAACTTATTTCAAACTATGTAAGTAATCCAGTCTGTGTATTTCATGATGATAACGGATTGGTAACTCCCATCCACCAAGATAAGTCAATATCAGAATCTGTTTCAACTTCCAAAGAATTATATATCTCATATGACACCATATAATTGATGGCTTAGCATTCCGCTTTATATAAATGCATGTCTTGAAAAGTATACAAATCAAGAATTAAATACAAAAAACAGATAATGATTTGCAAGGACAACAAAATGTAATATTTCCTCCAAGTAGAAAAAAAGTCAGCATCAGCTATCCTGATTAGGACTATACATTAATAACTAACAGTTACAATGATGAATTGATGAGAGATTTCACAGTCCAGTTCTGAACACCACTTACCAATCGCCCCCCTGCAATTATGGCAGTGATGGCAACTGCTGCCTTAACAGCAGCCAGTCCAAGTGCTTCAGCAATAGCTTGAAAACCAACCTGAAAATATACATTGGTATTTCCAATGAGGAGTTGAGGACAACAAAGGAAGCAATGGAGCTTAGAAAAACGTTACCCCTCCTTTGGAAGAATTAGGAGAAATAAGAGGTATGAGTATTAGCAAGACCACCACAGCCAGATCCTGAATAGAAAGTAAAAGTCAATTTGCGTCGAAATATTGCAACAGCAATACAAAAAGAAAAGAAAGGCAAGAATTAATAAAAAAGAATCAATGTCAGAAATAGCAAATTCATATCACAATTGAACAGATAGAGCAGACAAAGTAGAGGATCCTTGTTGAGGATCTCTACACAAAAACTAAATAAAGTGATCAAGGGAAAAATATATAGATGCACAAAATCATCTGTTCCAACATCCGACTGGAGATTATAGTTTCATAGTTTAATCCTTGCTTGTTAGGAACATGCTTGTTTAGTGTTTCTCAAAACAAGGTATTGGTATATATTAATATGCATGAAAAATTCTAGACCAAGCAAAGTGCAAAGACAAATATGCTCATCCAATAGCATGCAACTACAGGGAATTGTGATCAATTTATCTAGAAGGTGAAGCAACAGTATGGAATACTGAAGCAAGGTACATATAACACCCATTTGACAAAGTTTAGCCAACTATGTCACAAGAATATAATCTCTCTACAATATAGCACAACATTTGACAAGAAGAAAAATTTTTCAGCATCTAAATAGAAGGGTAAGGTACAAAGTAACCTGAAAAAGTAGCACAGAAAAAGTAGCTCGTCCATGACGTGATGTGCTCTCACCTCTCTCCTGCAACACCTGCAATAAATAATTCACTGAAATTATTGCAAGTTTGCAACATGATAGACTCACCAGAAATAAAATAAAATATAGATAGAATGAACACATCCTATTTTCCATTTGATGAATACAACCTTAACTGGACATATTGAACTCATACGAGAACATTTCAACAAGGACTATTTGATACAACTACAGGCATTAAGCTTTATAAGTAGTGATAAGCATTTAAACATTTATTAACAGATGCCAAGCTACAAGAAAAACTTTTGCAATCATCTATCCAAAATTTACAGTTAATGCTTGTCAAAAAAGGTGGATATTAATTAAACATGCAATCTTAGGTTATTTACCTGCAGAACAACAGCAGTTGATGATAACGCTAGGCCATTCCCAATGACAATAGCAGCAGGACCAGCTTGGCCACAAATATAATGAGCCACCAAGCCGACAGCTACAGCAGTTGCCAAAACCTGCATTTGTTCATACATGCTAAGATTGATCAGTTAATACATTACTACAATATAGCTTGAGGTTAATGATAATAACAAGGGTGGGAGATGAAGTTTCCCAATCACCTGTGCAGAGCCTAATCCAAAGACATATTTCTTCATTGAACTAAGTCTTTCAACAGAGAGCTAAAACAACAAAGCAAATAAGAGCCTCAGTTTAGCTCTTCTAATAATGGTGATGGTCAAAGTTAACATAGTCGTAGAACAACTGTTCAAGAACTGATAGGAATCCCCACCTCCAGGCCAATATTGAATAGAAGGAAAACAACTCCAAATTCAGCTACTGCTTTTGTCCCATGGACATGACGAATGATAGAGAGACCATAAGGCCCAATCAGGATGCCAGCAGCCAAGTAGCCAAGAACAGGACTGCCTAAACATTTTTCCAAGATAGAGGGAATAGCATCAGCAGAAAAATATGTGAATGTAAGACAATTTATTGAGTATAGCTTTAAAAGAAATTTAACATATCCAGATTCTACATAAGTGACAAAATTTTTCAAACAAAAGCACATTTTTTCTACATAAGTGACAAAATTTCCTTAAATATTACAGTTTCATATTGTCATAACCCTACTTTTCAAACCCAGACTTGGGTCAATTAAACCACAAACCAGTCCACTGGATGATCCAGTCAACCTTGTTGGAATTCAAGTCTGAAGCGAAGTCCCACATTGGTTAGAGTTGGGCATGTTAAGTAATATATAAGTGAGAAAGACCCACCTACCTAATGCCTTAAGGTTTTAAAATATGTTGTGGTGTCAAGCTCACTTGTGTGACTTACTCACTACCCATTATGTAGAGTGCTCCCCGATGTTAAAGACTCCCCAACATTGGTATCAGAGCCGATAGTTCGACCAAGTGACTGGTCATCGGCTCAGATGAGTATTGGCTGGATCCAAGAGTGGGATCCTGAATGGAATTGGCAGGAGATCCAAGAGTAGGATCATCCCTTGTACTGAAAGTCTCCCTAGAGATATGGAGGACATGTATCGTTGAAGTGCAACGATAGTGCAAGTAAGGCCATCATTGAATACTCGTGGACGAAAGAAAAAGCTTCCACTTGAGGGGGAGCGTGACCATGTAGAAGGGATTCACACTTGAGGGGGAGTGTTGGAATTCAAGTGTGAAGCAAAGTCCCACATTAGTTAGAGTTGGGCATGTTCAGTAATATATAAGTGAGAAAGACCCACCTACCTAATGCCTTAAGGTTTTAGGATATGTTGTAGTGTCAAGCTCACTTGTGTGACTTACTTACTACCCATTATGTGGAGTGCTCCCCGATGTTAAAGACTCCCCAACATGTAAAAGTTCCGATTGAATTCCGGTGTTTGAGCCAGTGAACGGGTCAAACCATGAAATCTGGAAATGGTTTTTCATTTTAATGAGAATAATTTCCAAAAAAATGTTGTTGCCACCTGCCACTAAGCCAGGCTTTATTTGTTATTTAAGTATCATAAACATGGTGAATTTTTTAAAATATTGTATTTTTTTTGCTGCTAGGCATGATCATTTATGATATTATATCTATAAAAAAAAAATTTTAAAGTATCATAACAGTATTTTAATATAATATCATATGTTTGTAGAATATATAGGTACATACAAAAGCCGAGCTCATCCACGACCTGACCTCAAAACCTTGAACCTCTCTCTTCAGAAGTGACCACTGACCAGTCTAATTTATTAAAAAAATGGTCATAACCAACTAATAAATTATCACCAAGCAAAAGAACCACGAGATTAAAAGAGTGGAGATAATCTATGCATCAAATTTCATCTAACAAGAATCTGTGGAGTTTAGTGGCTAATGACATTCTAACTAACACATTTATAGTCCTAGACAAGCAACTTTGTTATACTTGACAGACTATGTTCAATTCAACACTAAGAAAACAAAGCAAACAAAAGTTACCTCCAGGGATTTTCTGAAATATTGGCACGAATATGACACTTGCAAGTAATAACCAAAGCATGTCAAAGAGGGAGGCTTCTTCCTCATTCACCTGGGGCATATGTCTTACAATGTCAGGTAAAATTAATAAAATTGAGCACAAGACTAAAGGGGAAAGAATGAAGAAAAACAAACCTCTTGATGCGGTAATGATGCAATGATTTTCTTGATTTTCTTGGGGAGTTTCTGAAGTCGTCTAACCAGAGGCTTTGCACTAGAGGAAACTTCTTCAACACTGGTCATAATAACATCTGCCTGTGGAAGCAGCTGAGCATTCCTCTCCACTCTATTAGCATAGAAGGCAACCCTGAAATAAAAACCCACCATTTATTGAATACTAGGTAAAATCTTTATATTAAACCTTTACATGTAAATTAACTGGACAACAAGACACAAAATAGTCAAACCCTCAGACTCCCTTTAAACTTTCTGAGAAACTTAAATAAAGGTTACTCGTGTCAACGCATATATGATATATCCCCACCCAAAGTCCAAACAATATTAATTTAACTTTAAAAACAGTTTTCAAACAAACCAGTGAATATTGTACCTTGAAAAACCTAATTATGTTGCACAGAAGGCTCAAAATTTTCATTAGTATTTCATACTCTTATACCATACATATTATATGGCAATCACATGAAGCATATATTCTTCTAGATAAATTGATTTTAGAAGGATTGAAATAAAACTGATAGCAATAAATGAAAAAGACACAGCTAGATCATACACACCCTGCTCCCATTAGCAATAACCCAAATATCATCTTGGGAAACTGCTTCTGTATATATAATACAAGGCCCTGGAAAACCGATGCTGGTTCAGTCTCATCCTCAGGAAAAGAGAAGAATGATGCAGGAAAAAATCGAGAAGACTTTTTCAATAATGACTTCGGAGCAAAGGATGAATTATCTCTGGCCAAATCTTTCGGCGTTTCCTGCTTTTTTGTTTGCACAGAATTCTCATTATCACTTAAATAATCAGACTGTGGTTTGTCTTCCAAAATTTGGCTGGTTTTATCAGATAGTGTTTCAGGTGATATCTTGGAAAGCAAAGATTCATCATCAATTGCCAAATCTGTGTCTCTTTCAACAGTGACATCACCAGAAAAACCTTGAACCACTTTCTCCTCTTCAGGAACAACCGCAACATCCTGTGCTTGTGTAGTTTCTATGGCATCAGCATTTAAATTAGAATTAGACTTATCTGCTCGCTGTAAGGCAATCTCAGCATCATTTACACGTTTTGTAGCCTCAAGTTCAAAGGCAACAGCTTGCTCTGCCAAAAGCATTATGTTTGTAACATCCTCTTCAGCTTTCACCGCATTAAGCTGAGCCTTTTCAGCAATTTCTTGCAATTTGCTCAATTCCTTCTGCAACTCCTCCTTTCTATTTTGCAAGTGCTTCAGCTCTGCCTCACAATTGGCTAATGTAGCCTGGCATTCCTTGATATCTTCTTGAGCATCCAAAATAGCTTTCTCCTCTTCCACTGTGTCCTTATCACCATTGCTCTCATTAGAACCTAGTGCTGAATCAGGAACTTCATTTGCAGCCTCCAAAGATTCTATGGCTACTTGAAGCTTTGCCTCAGCTAATGAAAGAGCCATTGTTGCATTTTGGACAGCTTCTTTGGCCGTGAGTTCTTCATTTGATAATTCTTGGATGGTGTCAAGGTTAGAATTAACATCGTTCCAAGAATTTACTGCTTCATCATGCAAGAAAATAGCAGTCTCTGATATTTTTTTAACTTTTTCCTCAAACATGGTACTATTTATTTGAGCTACTTCCAGCTCCCTCAAGGCCTTTTGCAATAGTTCTTTCAGTTCATCCACGCTTTGTTCCTCTACTCCTATTTCACCCCCTCCTTCTTTCCTCCCTTCTTCTTCCAAAGGTGCATCCAGTTCAGCACTAGAAACAGGCCCCAATCCTGCATCCTCACCTGAACCTTCCACATAGTCAACATTCCGACCGTTGCCATTAACATAAGCTAAAGAATCATTACCCTGGCACTTGGACCAAATTACTCTCGACCCCATAAGAAGACCATTATTCTTACAAGACAAACTTCTCTTCACATTCAAAACATTAAACTCCCTATCAGTAACCACTCTAGAATTATTCCAACATGCAGAAACACTCATCCCACTACCACGCAATCTCGAAACTGAGTTGCCGAAAACCGCACAACCAAAACCTCTCCCTCTAAAATTAAAACAACCAAACTGACCAACTGATCTGTGCCTGTAACTCGTCCCCACACCTCCGTGCAAAATCCTTGACTGCGGCAAGCCACAAGCCATATCCATGTTCACACTCTCGACCAATCACAACTCAGACAGACAACACCTGTTTGCTCAACGCATTCTACATACACCAATCAGCAATTCATCAAAAACCTGATGCAAATAAATAAAAATCAGAAACTCATAACACGACACAAACTCCACATTCGCCTAACACAAATAACAACACTGTTCAACGCATTTCCCAAACACTAATCATAAAAAATAAAAATAAAAATAAAAAATCAGAAAGCGCGGAATCCAAGACGACATAGAAATTGATGAGAAACGAAGAGAAGGAGATTGGAAGAGATTAACGAAAGGATGCAAAAGCGAGCGGACCTGTGGAAAGGAGAGTGTTAGGTTGGATGAGAGAATGAGGAAAGCGTTGAACGAATCGGCGTAGTTTCCGAAGCCAGGAGAGGAGGCTCTGCTAATATTATATTTTGTTTATTTTTATTTTAATTATTTTCCCTTTTTCTTACACCTACTACTTAGAGTTCAAAGTGCTACTTACTTCGTTCGTGTTCAGAGGGAAAATGAACGGAGAAAAGGTGCAATAGGGCCAGGCTATGCTTCTCTCTCTCTCTTTCTCCCTCCCTCCCCTCAAATGCCGCTTTTATACTACCGTACCATTCACTCGCATCGCATGTCTATTATATTATATAATTGGAGGAATTAAATAATTCATTTACTAAAATTAAGAAAATAATTCATTTTTTTATTAAAAAATAACAAACATGTTTTTCTACGACAATAATAAACACGACAAAACTTAGGTAATTACAAATTTGAGTTACAGTAAGAATAAAATTGAAGAGGGTATATAGTTACCAACTCTTTTTTTAATATAAATGATAGGCATCTTTCGCCAAAATAATTATGTTTGAGTTAAGTAAAATTATTATTTTACATGATAAAATTATTTATCTAAGTATTTAACATACTCTATATTTATAATATTTGAATTTAACATTATTAATCAAGGGAAAACAATTTTACTCATAAGTTATAATTCACGTGTTTTATAATACACATCATATTTTAAGCCTTTATAGGTAGTTGTCGTTTCTTTTTATGTCTCATCTGATCTATCACATTACTTACGAATATTATACCTATACTTTTATTTGTTTTCATATACATTTAATACGTGTCTAATAATATTTGGAGTTTTGAAAATAATTTTTGGTATCGTATGTATTTTGAGATAGCAAGAAGGGTAGGCGACAAAAACGGGCATTGAGTATATGAAAGGGATATTCTTGAGGTCATTGTATTCGCTCACGTGTTCAAGTGGTTGTACACTTAGTTGCCGTTTATTTTTTATTTTATTTTATTATTATTATTATTATTTTGATTTTGATAAATATTATTGTTATTGTTTTAAAAGAGAAGAAAAGTCAGTGAAATGAGTCACGAAGATTATGAGCTTTCGTGAAAAAGGAGAAAAGGGTAGAAGATAGGAGATGGTGGGTCGGGGTGATTTACGTGGTTTAAATACGTACACTTAAATGATTTTTTTTTCTTGTTGGAGATGGGTCGGGGTGATTTTTTATTTTTTTTTGTAAGTGGTCGTTTGTAAGAACTTTACAATCAAATATAATGAAATTTTTTGAGATTATGAAATTGTATTCATGTTACAAAGATAATTTTACATCTTTCTAATTTTAAAATTTTGTTCTTAATAAACAAAAAGATTTTTTTTATTATTAGAAAAGTTTTTGAAATAATTAAGACAAAACTTTTAATAAGATATAATTTCTCATCAAGACACAACATTTTAATAAGATGAATTTTTTTATAAGATGGAAGTTGTATTAAGATGATCTCGTTACTTTTGTAGCTTAGGCAAAGCTTTATTTTTAAAAAGATGCATGCATCAAATCTTTATTATTTATGATCTCTAAAATGGAAAATAGTTATATCTAAATGTTTTCTTAACGATCAAACTCAAAAATGCTTTCTCTATACATATATTTTACAAAAAAAAAAAAAAAAAGACATGATTTATATTAGAAAAGGATAAATAGGTTCCTACATATATGGAAAGTTACAGTTAAAGTTGTATCAATATAGGACCAACTGACACACGCATAAATTTATCCACTTAGTATGTAAAAGGTGATAATTAACTTATTTGATAAAATAAAAAGTGATAATTTGGTGAAAGCATTTAATATAAACATTTATTGCATTAACAAACACTTTTATCTTCAAAAAGCAAACCATGAAAACAAATGAAACAAGCCATGTGAGAGAAGCTCAAAATTTTGCAACGATCATCTTATTTGAAGAACCTATATAACGAAGCTTAATGATTAAGATATAAAGATAGAGATACATAAACATAAAAATTGCACATATAAATAAATATTATTTCCTCATTCTAAATTATTTTGTACTTCATTGGTTGGATCACATCTTGAAAGGAAAAAGAAACAAATTTGTAAACTTTTGTAACCTTGAGTTATTAGATTTGAACCTAGAGAGACTTACCAGTAAAATAATACTTGGTGTCTGAAGCCTAGCGAGACTTTGTAGAAAAAATATTTTGGTAGTTGTTTGAAGAAACAAGTCAAAAATTGAACGTAATCTCGATGATTGAAACGACCAATATAAAAACACTTTGCATTTATTTTGTTTACCTCTTCGTCTGCACTTTTCACTGTAATTTTATTACTTACTATCTTACAAAAAGTGAGTTTTTAAGTGACACTATTCAACCCCTTCCAATGTCTCTTTTTTCTCTACAAGTGATATTATATATTTTTTTAATATTTATACTACTATTCTATTCTTGTATAGATCATTGTATAATTTTTTCAAATAATTAAAAGATTAATATAAGGGTGAATTGCATTAACCTTCCCTATAATTTTTAAAAAACAAAGACCTTTCCTAATGTTGATTCTATTTAACTTTAGTTAAATTACAAACAAAATTAAAAAATTGTCCTAATAAAAAATAATAAATTTTTAATGTACATGATCTTTTCTCTTTCGTTCATTAACTGGTTCCCTTTTGGTTATCATCTCTTCTTTTTTGTGTTTCTATTTTAGCAACTCCTTTTATGTTGTCTACTTTTTAATTTATACGAACAGAAATATAATTTTGTATATATTATATAATTACTTTTTTAATGGTTTTGATATTTGATAAAGAAAAAAACACCATTGAAATTACAAATTCACATCCTTAATTAATATATTTAAAATTGTATGCTAGAAGACAAGAAAGTAGGAAACAGAAACAGAAACAGAAATATGATAGCCTGATACCGCATATAACTAATTACTAAAACCGGGTCATCAACATAGATACTAAACCATGAGATCAAGAAAAAATAAGCAATTAAATAAAAGTTTCAGATGCATCACATACTAGTATATTACCTTTCCAGTTGAAATACATCCGTAAATAGTATGAAACACACCTCTAACGCATTTTGATTTTTGAATTAAACCATGAGTGTTCTAAGATTGATTGCCTGGTAGAAATTTTAGAGAGAATTGCTTAATAATTTAAAAAAAAAAATCAGGAAAAGAACAAGCCTCAGAGATATGTAATAAAAAAAAATATAATTATTATTGAACCATGTAATGATAAAAAAATGAGCTGGTGAAATAAATTGATTATATAAATGCAGTAACCGGGTGTTTATCTTTTCAATAAGCAAGTGGATCAAAAGTAACCATTATAGATAGCAGAATCTTAAACAACCCTTGCCTCTAGCATTTTATGCTATCGTTCCTTTAATATCTCATCATCTCAGTACGCTATACGTATATGTTGCCTTTCGGAGTCGGTTAGCCATCTTTTGCTGCAGTTTTGAACAGTTACGAAGATGGTCCTATAGATGAGTTTGTGGCAGACACTGAGGATTTTAGTGACAGATGGTTTGCAATTTAGTCTAGCCACTAATCCAAAATGAGCACATTGCATGAAGACAAGTATTAATTACAATTTAGGCATCATCAAACCTATACCCCTTTAGCAATTCCATCTGTAATTCATAAGAGGCAACTCTACCGGTTCTCCCTTAAAATATTGCTTCATGGCAACAAATATCAGTTAGGATTTGGTCACTTGTGTGACAAGTTAATTAGGCCATCAGGGGTCAGGTTCAAAATTTTCAAATCCTTGGTTTATTTCCTGCCCATGGACCATGCTGTCCCAAAAATGAAATCAATTTGTGAAGTAATAAACGAATCTTCTAGACAACAGTTAATTCACTCTTCTCTTCACGTTCAATAAAACACGAATCTTGAGAACCGTTTGATCCATTTATTTCTATGGAACTGCTACCTGATGGCTTCTGTACATTACTCTTCTCCATCAGTCCTCTCATTTTAACAACATCTTCCCATCTATTGGAGCCCGCATAAGTATTAGAGGAAAGTACGTAATTACCACTATTAGAAGGATCCAGTTCAAGAAGCTTCTTTGTGGCAATCTCAGCCAAGGGCACATTTCCAAGAACCTGAGAGGAGCTCAGCAATATCCTCCACACTACCACATCTGGAGCCACAGGCATCTCTTTAATGAATTCATATGCCCTTTGTAAATTGCCAGAGCGACTCAAAAGATCCACAACACATCCATAATGTTTCATTTCCGGCTTCAGTCCATAAACCTTCTCCATACTTTCAAAATATTCCAATCCTTTGTCAACCAATCCAGCATGAGCACAGGCTAGCAAAATTCCAACAAAGGCTCCCTGAGAAGGCCAAACACCTTCCTTCAACATCTGTGAAAAATAATGAAGTGCTGAATCTGCAAAGCCATTAACCGCAAGGCCTGCAATGATCGAAGTCCACGACACCGAGTCCTTCTTCCCCATCTCTTTAAACACTTCCAATGCTTTCTCAACCACACCACATTTGCAGTACATGTCTATCAAGGCATTTCCAACATATACATCAGCTTCCACATCATATTTCCGTATATAGTCATGAACAGCTTCCCCAACATCAAGCGAACCAATATGTGCACACGCCGAAAGCACACTGGCAACCGTTATTTCATCTGGCTTCACCTTAGCCTCCATCATTTCCTTGAAAAGCCTCACCGCCTTTGCAAACTGGCTTGCTTGAGAGTAACCTGTGATCATAGAAGTCCACGAGATCACATCTCTCTGTGGCATAGCATCAAACAACTCCCGAGCAGCAGCCAAGTTTCCTGCTTTCCCATAAACCATAATCATGGCATTCCAAGAAACCAAATTCCTCCATTGCATCCGATCAAAAACCCCACGAGCCAGAAGAAACAACCCACGCCGTCGATACATATCAATCAGCGTATTCCCCAAGTAAACATCCATTTCCACCTCGTTTTCCTCAATGTAGCTAACCATGGCATCAGCAAGACCCCACTCACCCAGAAAAGAGCATGCCAAAACCACCTTCACCATCGTCACCGCATCACCCTTCACACCGGCCATCCGCATCGCTTCAAAGACACCCAACACCTCCTTAAACCTCCTGCACTGACTGTACCCACAAATCAACGAATTCCAAGAAACCAAGTCCCTCTGAGGCATTTCATCAAACACCTTCCGAGCAAGACCCACATGGCCACAAGTTGCATACATATGAATCAAGGAGTTGGAAACAAACACAAGGGGCTCAAACCCAAGTTTCAAAACACGGGCATGGAGTGTTGTGCCGCAAGAAATGTTTGAGACTCGGGCACAGGCCTTGAAGAGAAAGGGGTATGTGAGGTTGTTGCCCAAGAGGCCCTGGCTATACATGAGGTTGTACATGCGAATTGCTTCGAGGGGTTGGTCGGTGTGGGACCAGCCACGGATCATGAGGTTCCAAAACGACAAGGTGGGTCGGTGGATTTGTTGGAAGAGGTTTTGGGCTTTGAGGATGTTTGAGGGGGAAAGTGCATAAGATTTGAGAAGGTTGTAAATGGTGGAAGGGTCTGTTTTTAGATTTGGGTTCATCATCTTTGGTTGATTTGTTAACAAGGTAAGAGTTGAAGGCTTGAAGCATGATTGTATAATGAGGTATTTATACTCTTGCCTTCTTTCTTGGCCTCACCTTTCACATTTCCTAGCTAGTTTATGTCTTTTGTTTGGTCTGAGCATTCTCAATGTCAGTTTAGGGTCTGGCAGATTTTTTTTCGAAGTATAATAATCATTTTTGGATGCTACCTAACAAGGCCTCCATTTGTGAGTTTTCCACAAACAATTCATTCTAGTGAGTAAAACAAATACTTCGAAAAATAACGACTCTCTAAGCTTCTTTTTTTTTTTTTTTTTTTTTTTTACACT